AACCTTGTATATAACTGTGCAAAGACTGATAGGTCTGAATTGAGCCACATATTCTATGTTATTGCATTTACGAATAAGGGAGACTATGGTGTGATTCTAGTATTTTAAGAAAAGGCCTTTATTGTTAAGAAAAGTTTGAAATAGCAGACACCATATCAGATATAACATCCCAGAAAGATTGGTAAAAGAGAGCTGTCATACCATCTTTCCCTGGTGATTTCTCTGGCTGCAGAATAAAAAGGGCTGCTTTTATGTCTTCTTCAGTGACTTGTTGAAGCAGCAAGGTGTTCATATCAGGAGTGATTGATGGAGAAATTAGAAATAGGATAGAGTCACCTCCCCAAGATCCCTCAGAGGTGAATAAATCAGTGTAAAACTGAGCAATATGCCTCTGGATAGCAATCTGGTAACTCGCTGAATTCTTCCCTGGTAGAAGCAAAAGACTTTATTTATTTGATTCTAAGCATCTAGCCTGAAGGTTTTCTAAAAAAAATGTGAATCCTCGTATCCTCTCTTTCTTACCCTTATCGGAGCTACAGTCTTCTTCATGTGAGAGTCACATACTGTATTCTGAGGGGTAAGGAGTCTGGTAATGGAATTTTGTCTTCTTGTCACCATACTATAAGCATGAAAAAACTTGGAGTTGCTGTCTCCTTCTCTTAACCACTGAATTTTTGCCTTTTGCTGCCAATGGAGTTCTTCAGACCTATGGGCTGATTCCAGAGCATTTTTGGTTTCCATCCATTCCTCCTAATTGTCAATAAAACCATTCTGCTGCAGAGAGTTAAGCTTCTTGGAGAGGTTATCAATAGTAGACTGGGTCTGAGATTTGAAGCCCGCACTCCATTTCAGTAATGCCTGCCTAATAGACTTGACTTTTTCTTTGAGGATGTAGAAGGGAGTGCCTGAGTACTGTGTGTTCCAAGCTGATTCAACCACTTCTTTAACTCCTTCTCTTGAGAGCCATCTCTTGTCAAAATAAAACCTGCTTCTCTTCCTTTCTTTTATATCACCAGAGGACAAAAGCAGCATGGAGTGGTCAGAGGCTGACTTAGCTATATTAGAGATATGAGCATGGGGATGTGAATTCAGCCAATGTGCAGATGCAAAGCCTCTATCAAGTTTTTCCTCCACAAGCCCTACTGAAAATCTTTTATTACACCAAGTAAATTTGTACCCTACCATATTGATATCTTCCATCTCCATGTTGTCAAAAAAAGAGTTAAAACCTGCCATACTTGCAAAAGCTCTGGGAATGCCCCCTCTTTTTTCATCCCTGGAGCATATACCATTCCAATCGCCCAAAATGTGCCAAGAGTTCCCCTAAGAAGCCTGAGCTAGCTGCAGTTCTGCCTATTGGACATGTCTGACTTGGTAGAAAGTGCTTAAGTACACAAAAATCCCCCAGGTGGGGATAAGGTCAGCAATTTTGTATTCTACAGCAATATAGAAGGGTTGATTGATGATCTGATTGATTTGAGCTTCATTTGACCAACATAACAACAAACCACCACTTAAACCAGCAGGGTCTACAATTGAGAACCTATTGTCAAAACCCAGTTTCCTAACAACTGACTTCACAAAAGAAGAGGATTTTTTAGTCTCTGACAAAAATAAGAAAGTTGGGTGGTGAGTCCTGAGTGACTCTCTGGTTTGGGAAATTGTAGAGGGCCCACCCAGACCTCTACAATTTCACACCATGGCTAGCATTTTGTCACTTGGGTGCCATTCAAGGCTGGTCACCCCCACCTGCTTTGATTCTGTCTTCTGCCTTTTGTTTTCCTCACTTTGCTGAAAACCATCATTATTAGGTTCTGATGTTTCTTCAGGGAGAGCTCTTGATCTTTTGGCAGTCTTATCAGTTTCCAATGCTAAGGGCTTAATGCTCTGCCTTTGAAGCCTCCCAATTCTGGTTGAAGTCCTCTTCCACAGCTTGAGTTGAGGTTGTTGTGAGCCTGTGTGAGATAGTTGCATAGGCTGCTTAGTTAAAGAAGTGGCTGGAAGAGTCTCTATATCCATGTGCTTGATGATGGTTTGAATTTGAAGAATCTGATAGTTATCTTCACTTGTGTTCTTATGACACTTAGAGTTATTCCTCAGAGGTTCTGAGGGAGTTGATTGAATAGCCTGGTCAGTTTGTGAGGTTGAAGCTTCTGAAACTGGTTTTTGGTGAAGAGAAGGGGAGCCTTCAATAGACAAGAGTTTATTACTGTCATGATTAGGCGAAGGAGGATTGGGAACTTGAGATTCCGAGAAAATTGGTGGAGATGGGTTCTTATTGCCAGGAGAACTTTGAGAACCTGAAGAATTAACCCCAGCCAGTGATTGCTTTCTGTGGCTCTCATCCAAGCCCCAAATTGACCTTCCTTCAGTGAGTGGGAGCGTATGTCATCCATTCTCTTTGAACATGATCTTTCCAAGTGGCCTATTAGGCCACAATAGTGAGAGTGATTGACCAGCCTCTCATATTTAAATCCTAACACTGACTAATTGATCATCAAGCCTTAGATTGGCACATCTGGGAAGAGGTTCTTTCAGATCAATTGAAGCCAAGAGTCGCATAATCTGGCCACCGTGGTTGCCTGCTCCCACAATCACTACATTGTGCACATCCTTGAAAACCTGTCCTATCCTTAGTCCCACTTCAGTGCTAAGCCAATCAAGAGGAACATTAAATACCTGAATCCAAAGCTTGAGCTCTTTGAACGAAGGATGACTGATCGCAAGGCCTATCTTCCATTCCGACAGGACAAGATACTGATTTTCGTACGTCCAGTTGATTCCCTGAGCAACCCTTTCTTTGTCCACCATACTTTGAAAAATGAATTGGTAAAAATTGGGACCAAGGTCTTTAATCTCCATAGGTTGTGTCAGTTTCCAAATATGGCTCATAACTCTTTTGACTCCTATCCAGCTGGTTTGGCGATCACTGACAATTTTCCCAAATAAGCTCCTCTGACATTCATCGGCACTAATCTTGATGTCTTCATGCCTGATGTCGATGAAATTGTGCTCCTTTTCTGATAGAGAAACACTCTGGAGTTTTTTCGACAGCTCCTCGTCTTGCCAAACACAATTTGGGGCTCCCATGGAACCCCAATTAAGGATGATCGATAAAAGCGAAAAGAAAAACTGAAAATGGCACAAGGTAGAGGAATACAGAAGATAAACGACAAAGCTAAGTTAAGAAGAAGGCAAGCAATGAGTTACGCTCTCCGGCGGGAGAACGAGTTACGCATGGTTCATTCCCATATACCAATCATGCTCTTAGTATTTTGAATCAAGCAATCAAAAAATAACAATAATTAATATTATCATGACCGCAAACCCTGATTAATTTGTATATTATTGGTCAGACAAATTATATTATCTTATGCCAATCACAACACGTAACATGCTTTGATAGTTAATTCCCACCAAAAAAGCCAGAATTTGTATTTTAGCACCAATAAATGTAATTATAATACAAACTCGAATAATAAACACAATTAATTTTTTTGTTTGTGTTAGAATGAGTGTAAACCATGTGAGTTGGACCCACTTTAATGTTCTTTTCCTCCTCACTTGTATTGTCCTTTTCCTCCTCACATGTATTTTTCCAACGTGAAGATTCCTTTTGTTAATGCCCAACTGTCCCAAATGCCTACTTTATTGCCAAATTGCTCTGCTGAGACGCGTGAAAGTTCTGCCACTTGCTCATAATCTCTTTATAAATAGCAATCGACTCATTTCATGAATAGGCAGAAAAAAATAGAAAAAACACACAACAGAGAAAAAGAGAGGAAATAGGGAAAGAGAAAGAGAAAGAGAAAGGAAAGAAAAAAAAGATATATGTCCAAATATCAGATATAAAAATATCAAAAGAGAAGAAACAAGCGATATTTTTATTTGTTTTATGATATTCCTTTTATTATTAAGTGCTCAATCTTGACTCCGTTCCAGTTCGCCATAACTCTTAAATCTGGTGTGCTACAGATTTAGAAATGTTTCCCGTTGCATCTTTAGGGAAGTTACGCCTGAACCGTTAACTGCCACACGGGGCGTATTCTTCTTGCGGAAAGAGTTTTGCTCACCTCGGCTAAAATCTTTCCATCTTTCAGTTGTAATTTATTTTTCAATTCAATTGTAATTTTCTCTTTTTAGATTATTTGTACGAACAGAAAAATCATATCAGTTCATAGGATTCCCGTGTAATTTTACACCAAATACCCAACAATCGCAAGAAGAATACTTTTCTACTGAACTGATGGCATCCACCGGAGCAGGTTCCAGCTCTCAGCAGCCGATCAACAACTCTGTTCAGCATTATCATCCTGTATCTGCTGTTTAGGTCCCGCCTGCTGAATAACCTGAAATATTCAACGGGCTTGACTTCAAGAGGTGGCAGCAGAAGATGCACTTCTACCAAACTACCTTAGGTTTGGCAAAATATCTGAAGGACGATCCCCATCTTGTTGCTGAAAATAAAACCAACACTGAACTACGTGTTGCGTACGAAGCTTGGGGGCAAGGTGATTACCTTTGCCGGAACTATGTCCTGAATGGACTTAGTAACAAGTTGTGCAATGTGTACAACTCTGTTAGTTCTGCCAAGGAGCTTTGGGCTGCCTTGGAAAAGAAGTACGAGACTGAGGATGCCGGGGCGAAGAAATTCGTCGTCGGCAAATTTCTTGACTTCAAGATGGTTGACACGAAGAAGAGTTCCAGCTGATATTGCACGATATCCATGCTGAAGGGATGACTTTGAGCAAGTCATTCCAAGTAGCGCTGTGATCGAGAAGCTGCCGCCAGGCTGGAAGGACTACAAGAACTATCTCAAACACAAGAGAAAGGAGATGAGTCTTGAAGACCTAGTTGTTCGTCTTCGTACTGAGGAAGACAACCGTAAATCACCAGGAAAAATCCCAATGATGGAAGCTCGTGCTAACTTGTTGGAGCAAGGCAACTCGAATAAGAGAAATTCCCTTAACAAAAGGAAGCAGCCCGCCAAGGTTTGGAAGTTTACTGGCACTTGCCACAACTGTGGAAAGCCGAACCATATGGTCAAGGACTACAGGAAGCCTAAGAAGGTTGGGCAAAAGAAGGTGCAACCGAGTGCCCTCGTTGCTGAGCACGACCCTATGCCGGGTGAATTGATTGACTTTGATATGTCGACTGTGGTGTTTGAAGACAATATGGTGGATAACCCAAGAGAGTGGTACATCGATATTGGTGCCACTCGTCATGTGTGTTCCGACAAAGAGTTGTTTTCTGATTACACTCCTTCTAATGGTCGGAAACTTCACATGGGAAACTCCTCTACGTCTGAAGTGGCTAGAGTTGGCACTGTGGTGCTTAAGACTTCTGGAAAGGAGTTGAAGCTTAAGGATGTTCTGCATGTCCCAGACATCCGCAAGAATTTGGTCTCCGGATCTCTTCTTATTGAGCATGGATTTAGGCCGGTATTTGATGCTAAGAAGTTTGTTCGTAGTAAGTTTGGAACATTACTTGGTCATAGCTATCTCGACAAGGGTGTAACGCCCAGATTTTTAATTACTATTTATGGAGCTCGACTATATTTCCATAAATATTAAGTTTCTAAATTTGATGCATTTATTATATTTATTTTGCATTAAATTAAATAATTAGTATCAAAGTTTAAGCCATGAATTATTCATTCGACTTTAATTACTAAAGTCGGAATTTTACCTAAGCGAACCAAAGCCGGATAATTTGATTATTCGAGCCCAATTAATTTTGAGAATCCAATAATTTTAGTCGGCCATTTTAATTCGAATAGTCGAATTAATTCCAAGCCCAAGTGATAATTTTAATATCGAGCCCTCGTAGTATTTTAATTCCGGGCCCAATATTAATTTTCGGCCAAGTAGAAATTATTCTACAAGCCGTCACATTTTATTTAACCGGTTAATTTAATTAGTTCGAGTTCGACTAATTTTATTAACCAGACATTTAAATTTCCTAGTCACTATCCGAATTAATCAAGCCCGAGTGTTAGGATTTTTACTAGCCCGACTTTAGTAATTTTATGGCCCCTTTCCTTAGCCCAATGTTGAGGCCCAACAAGATGACCAAACCCTAGTCTCCCCCTCATTCTATAAATAGCACATGTTGTTCCCTCATCTCCCAACACACAAAAAAAAACCCCTAGCTCAAGTTGACCACTCAAACCTTATCTTCTTATCATACTATTCATCATCTTCCTCACTACACCATCTTAAATTCAAGATCCCTTCTAAAATTTCAAGAATCTATAGCTAAAATTTCAAGATCCATGCCTTGAGCTCAAAAATCAAGCCACCACTCCCGGTTTTCTGGCAAAATTCTGGCAAAACCCGCAGCCCCTCCTCAGCCCTAGCTCAGCCCGTCACCACAGTCCAAGCTCAGTCGGTTCGCAGCCCTCCACAGTCAAGCTCGCGCGTATCACTTCGGTCGCAGCCCTTCACGCCACTGTTCGTCTAGCCCGAGCTCGCAGCTCCTCCGTCGCCTTCCCAGGTCACTCACGTCGGCGACCTGCAACTGCCTCACGGCGAGCCTGAAGCCCGATGAACCACTCTTTTACGAGCAGCTCCTTCGCGCGACTCCCGACCAAAGCTCCGCCCACGACCGACGCAAGCCCCAGCAACTTCCGGCGACCTTAGCTTCAGCAAACCCGTCGTTGTTCGAGCTCACCACCATGACCAGCTCCTCTACAGCGCCTCCACGCATGCCTCCGAGCTTGGACCCGCGACCCCTGCTGAAAATCCAACCGGACCCGCGGCCCTTAACAGCAAATCGACCCCCAGCTGCACTCCTCGACTCAGCAGCTCTATTTTTCGACCCTAGCTCCGACCAGCAGCACCTTAGGCCCATTTTCAGCAAGCTTGAAGCTCCATTCCGACCCGATTCGCTTTTTGACTCTTGTTCTTAGCTCGATCTCTTATTGACCCACCGTTTTCGCTCGATTTAAGGTATAATAACTCGAACTCGGTGTTTATGGCTTAGATATGATATTTGAGATGAAATAAAGGTGTGAATTTGATGATTTGAGCGAAAATTGAATTATTGGGATTTTTACGAGCTTGGACCGATCAATTTTTCGATCTCTTTATACATAAGTGATAAAATGATTATTTGAATTTGATAAATCATAATTAATTGTCTTGAGGCTTAGGTAAAAATTTGAGAATTTTTGGGGTTCGTTTGATAGGCGAACCGATTTTATGTGTATTTGACCGGTTGTAGCGATTACTAGTTAATTGGGTTAGGAGTTGAACTTGGACTTGATTTGTTGATTGTGGACCATACATGTATTGAGGATGTTATGTTTCGATTTTTGTAAATTTTGGATGTTGTTTGACTTAGTTATAAAAATCGGGACTTTAGATATTAATGTCGTAAATAAAATATTAGTTTGATTGAGATTTTAGCTGCAGTTGTGGATTATAGATTTATTATTAATCACATAGAATGTGTATATTAATTATCGGCCTTAAATGAGTTAAAATTCTTCGAGAATCGAACCCTAGTTTTATCCGGTTCCGATAACCAGGTATTTTTCCGGATTCGATTATCATTGTCTGAACCCTAGTACCATCTAGATAATCTTTAGCCGTCGTATCGTCAATTCGTAATGCGTATCGTCATCTCGCGCACGTGACCGTCTCTCGTCCGACCGTTGGAGCCGAACCGCCGAGTGCGTGCACGTGCACCGAGTCCGAGTCAACCCCCGAGTGCGTGCCCGTGCACCGAGTCCATCCGACCTACCGTCTACGCGTCGTTCTGTTAGCCGTGGTCCAAGCACGCCCCTGCGTCAGTGACCGTGGCACCGTTTCAAACTCGTGCATCGGCTAAGTCGTGTCAGCCGAGTTCGTGCCGGCCCGAGTCGCCACGCCGAACTCGGACCACGGTCAAACCGAGCTGCACATAGTCAAGCTAATGATCGACCGGCTCCGAGTGAGCCGTCGGTCCTGTTCAGTCGAATCGGCCCGGTCAGTCCGGACTGTTTAAAATATATTTCAGATAGAATATCAGATAAAATTCAGATTCAGTCAGATTAAGATTTCAGATAAAATTAAGAATTTCAGATAGATTTAAGATTCAAATATAGTTTAGATTTGAGTCAGATTAGATTAAGTCAGATTCTAGTCCCAGATTTAGAAATATTTCAGAGAACTCTAGAATGCCTCAAAGACGATAATATTTTCAAAAACAGCTTATAAATCCCTAAAATGATTTTTAAAGCCGAGTGAGCGAACCTAGATATATAAGATATTAAAGATTTGAGTTTTATTCTGAGCCTAGTACTTAGAATATTTCGCTCATAAATTTGTAGCTTGAGGAGAGTCGAGCCTCCGCCTGCTACACAGCATATTTCAGATATTTCAGCATCCGCATTCGCCATTTTCCAGGTGGAGACCACGTACTGTGTATTTCATCGCTTTTAATAATTTACCATGTCTGAGATCTATATGTGTTTAAATTGAAGGACCGAGACGGATGAGTGATCCCGTCTTGGTCAATATTTCAGTATTTCAGTTATGACTTGGATGTGTGTGATTAGGGCCCGTCCTAAGTCTAGCGTCCAGATGGGGTGATTAGTGTCTTTCCTGGATTTCTGTGAGAGGGGACCCCCAGAGTGTGCACATGAGTACCGGTTTACCGTTAGTCCCATAGCCAGACCAGTTTATTCATATATATGTTGATTTTATAGTTTGTTATTAATTGTGCTGAGTATTCAGTGTCGGTTCTGGCGGAGCACCGTTGATTCCTTTGTGCTCACGCCTCCCCACTACCCTATTTTTCAGGTGATGGAGTCCCGCGTGGAGCGTGAGCAGTTATGTGGTGTTGGTCCAGTTTCAGGACATTTTTGTGAAAACATGTCATATAGTATTTGAACATGTTTGAATTATCTATGTTTGTTTTATGCTTTTGTGCTTTTCTGAACTTGTACTTGCTTCCGCATGTTAGACTTGTGTTTCAGATGTCAGATTTCATACTATTATTTCAGATGTCAGATTATGTCAGATTTTCAGAATATGCATGTTTTATCCGGTATTATTCATGGCCTTAATTCTAGAATGAATTTACTTGGTTGCATGCATGATAGATTAAAGAGATAAAGATATAAGATTAAAGTTGAGTAGCATCCCGCGTTTTAAAGTTAAAGTATTTTTGAAAAAATTAATATGAGTTTTCGAAAATTAAATAAGTGCTTTCCATTTATAGCGCGAAAAATTTACTCTGATTTTAGTAAGTCTAGGCGGGGTGTTACAAAGGGTTTGTTCAAAATGAATGTTATGTCTTGAGACGTGTAGCCGTTGAAAATGAAAAGCCTATTTTTGTTTACACCGTTGAGTGCTCTGATTTATGGCATATTAGACTGGGACATGTAAATCTAAATGCAATTAAACGGTTGATGATTTTAGAATTAATTCGTAATTCTAAAATCGAATCACATAAGAAATGCGAAATTTGTATTGAAGCAAAAATGGCTAAGTTGTCTTTTCACTCGGTACAAAGGAGTACTGAACCATTAGGCTTGATACATATTGATGTATATGATATGAAAATTGTGCAAACAAGAACAAGTAAAAAGTATTTTATTACATTTATCGATGATTGCACAAGGTTTTGCTACTTATATTTGTTAAGAAGCAAAGACGAGGATGTGGAAGCTTTTAAGATCTATAAGACTGAAGTTGAAAATCAACTCAGCAAAAAGATTAAAATAATCCAAAGTAATAGGGGTGGGGAGTATGTAGCTCTTTTTGAACAAATATGTTCTGAATATGGTATAATTCATCAAACGACTGCCCCTTATTCTCCACAGTCGAATGGTGTTGCTGAATGCAAGAACTGTATGTTAAAAGAAATAATGAATGCCATGTTGATAAATTCGGGACTGCCCCAAAACATGTGGGGTTGGGGAAGCTGTTTCGACAGCAAATCATATCCTGAATAAAATACCACCTAAAGAGAAAGATGAGACTCCTTACAATATGTGGAAAAATCGTAAGCCGTCTTATAAGTACCTAAAAGTGTGGGGGTATTTGGCTAAGGTTTCAGTGTTTGAACCTAAACAAGTGAAAATAGGACCAAAGACGGTCGATTGTGTATTTATTGGATATGTGTACAATTGTACAACATATAGATTTCTGGTTCATAAAATCAAAAAATCCAGAGGTATCTGTGGGTACCACTATTGAATCGATGAATGCTTATTCTTGGAGAATATTTTTCCTCTGAAGGAAAGGGCATAATCTAGTTCTAATAAACGAACATATGAAACTGCTAGTGGTTCCGTACTAGAGGGTACTAATGAAGAACCGAGACGTAGTAAAAGGGTAAAAATGGCTAAAACGTTTGGATCTGATTTTATTATGTACATGTTAGACGATGAACTGAGTTCCCTTAAGGAAGCTCTGTCCAGCCCAGATGGACCACTCTGGGAAGAAGCTGTAAATAGCCAAATCAAGTCTATTATGCAAAATCATACCTGGGAGTTTGTTAATCACCCTGATGGTTGTAAA